TCCTGGTCTGGATGACAGACACATAGCTTGCATTTTAAGATTTAATAAAACTGATACCTAGATTGATATTATTTAACAATATTTATGAATTTCGGCAAGTCTCTAAGGATCCCTCTACTTCAAAAAGCAAATTTCATAGCCTGCAGCAAACTTATCTGAAGAATCAGGGCCCGATTAAAGCATCCTAAGGCCTTAAGTGGCTGAGGTCTTTCAGGTGCACCTGATGCTCAGTGTTTTCGTTTCCGTAATACCTGTAATAATTACAGGTTTCTCGTAATAAAGGAGGGTTACTAAGAGTATGGAATAATTTTTGGGCTCCTTAAAATCTAGAACCCTAAGAGCGGGCTTTTAAGCAATAATCAAGCCCAGGAAGAAATATTTTCGATTTTCAAACCGGCCTTTTCAAGAATGTTAGATTTAGTTCCATTAAATAGCTGCGATGTTTAAAGCAAACTGATGATTGCTACAAGCAATTCATATTGCTGACATAAGTCATTGTTCACTTGGTATTTGATCTCTAAAAGAAATGATGGTGTCTCAAAAGAAATGAGTCATTATGAAATCTACGAATCTGTATGAAATGTTTAGTCAAATTCCGCAAAAAAAAAAACGACTCCGCATGAAAAAGTTTACTTTTTACTTCCATAAAAATATATTAAAATCAAAAGCATTTGAAATTATAATAATGACACCATTAATTTATTAATTTAATGTAAAATCTACCAAGGTCTTGCTAAAACTTATATAATTTAGAGTGAAGCAAATACAAACAGATGGTAACAAATAATGCCTCACTAATTTAGGAACCGTTACCGTTTACTTGAAAAATATTCCAGTTATTTTTTTACCTGCACAAGAATAATAGCACACATTTGACTTATATCTAATCAATGCCACATGAGTATGGTTATAGGGTCATGAAATTTTAGTGAGCTTATGATTCGTCATTCTAAATGAGTAGCGTAATTAAAAGGGGTGCAGGGGTTCGCTTTCGCCCAGGGCGGCATATTTTTGAAGTCAGCATTTTCACGTGAAATATTATTTTGTAAAGATTAGGTATGTGGGTTATCGAGGACGGTAAAGAAAAATGATATTCTGAGTTGCCATACAGAATTAATAAAATAAAGAAAATAGCTTTTACTCTACTTAAAATATTTAAAGAAATTACTACGAGAATTCAACATTATAACTTTTTTGTCCCGTCGAAACTTCTCAATGAACGTTACGGATATCCACTAAATTATGATCGAGGTGACATTATAAGATATTTCTCCCGCCTTCTTGGCATGCCTCCATGGTGTGGTGGTCTGCACGCCGGGCGCGTATTCCAGAGGTCCGTGGTTCAAATTCCGGCGAAGGTTTTGATATTTTTCATCTTTCCTGCTTCAAAAATTATCCTAATGTCTCTACAACATTACTAAGGAAGCACTCCTCGTTAAGAGAGAAGTGAAGTATTTTAGAGTTTTATTTCGTTATTGTTACGCAAAAAAGAAACAGGAACATGAAAAGGCGGTCCTTTTGAATATTTGCAATTCATTCTAAATAACAATTTTCGGAACAGAGTTCCAAATATTGTACTACTATTACTAACTATGTAGACCTTTACGATGTCGTCTGCGGTTTCGCAAATAAAAAAACAACTAAAAATAAAATTAAATAAATCTAAAAGGTGTCAGATTTTAACGGCCGCCGAAAAGGTTCTTGCTGAGCTCGCAATCTAGCAGCGCTCTTGCACTTTAGTAATAAAAACCCATTTTTTCCCTCTTTTTAGCTTTATTATTAAGCATCGTTTTCTTCACATTTACGCCTCATTACAGTTCAACAACAAAACTTTTAACTGCTGCATTGCATCATATGTTTAGAATTCCCGATGCAGTATTGCCGTGCATTTTTGTGATTTTCTTCAGACTTTTCTCAGTTCATCGCATCAGTATTCAGTTTTTTAGTAAGCTGGGTAACAAAAAATTTTTTGGTCTTTTTGTTATTAACTTTTTATGCATTTTTATCGTTAACCTTTCATGTAATAACTTTATTTATTAAATAACACGTTCTTCGCCCTTACGCCACATAAAATTCAAGCATAAAATTAAGCAGCAAAATTTAAAAATATTTAAATCAGCATATCCTTAGAGTTCCCGATACAGCGTTAAAGGTTGCCATACACATTTTTATATTCGCTATATTATTTCTATAAGAACTTGTAGAGACATTAGGTATTTTTTGGAAGCAGGAGAAGTGAAAAATGAGCAACACCTTCGCCAGGAATCGAACCACGGACGTCTGGAATACGCACCCAACGTGCAGACCACTACACCACGAAGGCACGCTAAGAAGGCGGGAGAAATACCTTATAAACTAGCCACCTAAATAAAATGTATATAATGATTTTAATGAGTCCAGCTAGTGTAGTTTTAAAAAATATTGAATATTTCTAATTAAACATCTCATGATTTTCATACATCTTTATTTAAATGAATCACACTAAAAGCTAGAAAAATATTCTTAAGAGCTGTGTTTATTGCTTTTAAATCGCTTAGTTTATTACTCAGTAACCTTCCAGATTTAATTTGAAAGTGTTTTAGGCTTTACTAAATGGCAACACGCTAACGTCTGGAACATAAAAGTATTTTTTTTTTTCCCTTGCACTCATTGCTGTCGTTAAGTCCAATTTGTAAATTAGGATTGAAAGATTAATATCTTACATTTTTCCGAATGAGAATAGTCTTGCGCTGTCGAGATAAAAGTTTTGCCATTGGCAGCTTTCAAATCGTTGAGTTTGTTAATTAAAATTTCAAATAAAGATTTCTAACTTATTCTATAGAGTTATTTATTGAATTTCTATTCAATAAAAATTTAATAAATTAGTTTCATAAAATATGAAATAAGCAGTGAAACAAAATGGAAATTCAAAATTCTAGATTCGGATGGAGGACTGCGTTATTCAAAATTTGATGGCTCATGGTACTATCGTTTTTTCACGGTACGAGGAAAAAACATACATGCGAGAAGATTCCTCATTATTTATTTATTTTTAAATAATATAAAGTGGTAATATTTTGCGGCAACCATTTGAAAACTGATACGCCTTTTATAGCAAACCAATGCAAAATCCTATTTCGATACTAGTAGTCCCTTTTGGGCTAATATTAATATAATTTAAATTTTTTTAATTAAAATTTTTCTTCAAAAAATGCAATTTCAATTTTTTTCTCCATATGCCATTTTGATATATTTTTAGTAATTTGTTTGTATATCCAAAAGAGTTGCAAATTCAAGTTCCCCCCCCCCAAGCGGGAAAATCGGATACTGCCTCGGGCCGCAAAAGCTATAACTACGCCACTGTTCTAAATGTTATCTAATAGCATCCTTTTCTCGCGTTTCTAATCCAAAGCAGAAAAAAAAAAAAAAAAAAAGTACTTCTCACTAGAAATAACATCAGAGAGGAAAAAAATAGCTGACTTATTGCTCTTGAAACATCTCTTGAGAACTTTCCCTCTTGTTCTTTTTTTACGTGGTGTTAATGTTAACACCCAGTTCCAGTATTCTTGTCACGTTTGCAAAACATCCCTAGAATAGATGTGCAAAGATCAGTATGCACTTCCTCCCGTTAAATCACAAATTTAATCCGATATCGCAATTTCAATAAATTTTCCTTGAAAGTACTTAAGGAAGCAGTGTATTATTATAACCCGACGAAAAATTATTACTGCAAATAAATTTAAACAAGAAACAGATGTCTATTTTTTATTTCCTTGTACGAAGTAAAGGAAATATCGTAATCGAATCACGATTTTGGGTATCATATTTCATCTGAAATATTCATTTTGACTTTTCCTGAATCCATTTGGACTGTCTTTAGTATGATGTCTATACATATAGGCAGAATAAAGGAGTTCCCCCCCCAAAAAAAAACGGATTGTGAAATGGATTAAAAATAGAATTTTTTTCGTCTGTACGTACGTAGATACGTATCTCGCAGGCATGTTTCTTTAAGGGGGAAAGATTGACGAAAAATTTTCGCCTTAGTGATCACTCCCTGTATTCACGTGCTCTAATGATTGATTCTTTTAACAGTTTCAGGATTAACATTGATTGCATGTCGTTCTTCTAAATCCGCTGCTATTTTTACAGCACTAATTTTTTTAATTATTATTTAATTACATTTTCACTTTTCATAGGACAAATCTTCGATTCCTTCTGGCTAACTTAGAATGTTATCCAGACTTTGGTGCATTTTGAACAGTTCTATACATTTTCTATCGTTTTAATACATCAAAGTTTTGAACCCCTTGCATCAAGGATTTAAAGAATATTTTGAATTACTTTGAATACGTTCATCATCTTTAAAATCGTAACGTGATAATTTGTAGCATCTTGCTATACTAACTTCAGAACTGAACTAAATAGAACTGTTACTAAATTTTGCTAAATAAGTAATAATTTCCAAAAATGACGATAATTTTGTGATGCATGTTTATGTAAATATATGACAAGAAATAATATATAACCAAAATAAATAAAACTTTCAAGTGTCTGAATTATTATGGTGTATTATATATTAACACTTTCGGAACATATTATTTTGTTCCAAATAATATTTTGATGATATTTATTTTGCAATAAACAAACCTTAAAACAAAGAAGAAATAATACATTAGGAAAACTTTTAAAGCCTATGCTTCAATGCTTAGTACAAGATCTATGCAAATAAATTTCAAAAACGCAAGTGTCCTAAAACAAATGTGAGCCATTTTAAATATGTATACACGGAAAAAAAAATTATCTAAATTTCTTAATTATCCGGATGGCTATTATTCATGTTAGTCCATATACTCGAAATTCTATTTTATTTGTTTCTTGTTATTCAAGTTAGGTCAAGAGATAAATCTCGCTTTTTTTATTTTGTCATGCGAACAGAATTCCTCCGTTATCACATTCTCGTAAGCACAGATCAGTTATTCAATGTTTATCAAATTTTAATTCAGATAATCAGTATCGTAGAAATCAAATCACGTTTTCCATTTCGTAGTTGTTAACGACAATTGACTGTTGCAAATCTCCTTAATTTTGCTAGCCTTTTTAGCCATAAATTTTAGAAAACGATATGAAAATCGATCAAGATTTGATCGAGGAATTCGATAAAAATGGTGCCGTGTGTCTTAGAGGAGTATTCGAAGAAAAGTGGATTGATATTATCCGTAAAGGGATTAAGAAAAACTTAATGGATCCTAGTTCTTACAGCGAATTTCTGAAAGGAACAGCAGGAGATGGATATTATTTCGATGATTATTGCAATTGGAAACGAATTCCGGAGTTCTATGATTATGTATTTAAATCTCCGGCTGCAGCCATTGCTGGTACTCTGGTACAGTCTAAGGTACTGTGAATTTTTAATTTTTATATTTACTTTAACATGCATAATCGTTGGGTTTATTCTGACGTTAGTTAAGTCTTAAAAAATGAAAAATAAATATTAAAATGAAATAAAAAAAGCAATGTTTGCTTAGGAAAGAATATTACAAATTCTTAACGTGTTCATTAAATTTAATCGTAAAATTTTGTTTTCAACATCTTTAAAAATAATAGCCTTTAAATAATCCTCTATTATAGTCATTCACAAGTTTATTGTTTTCAGTTTTATTTACTGCAGCTTTTCTTAAAAGTTCATCTAAATTGCTAAACTGTACTACCATTCGCAATTTGAATAATTATTTGCATATTTGTGTGCACATCTTTTAATACGTATCATGCCTACTAGCAATCGAATATACAACTATAAATCTGATTGCAAAACATATCTGATTTCCCCGTGCAGGCTGTCGTGGTGTAGGAGTTTAGGACATCTAGTTAGTGAATGAAAAATCTGCGGTTCGAATACCGGAGAAGACATAATTGATTTTTCTTGTTTCTGAAAAGACTTGATAATATTTATAGTGGTGCTCGAACTGAAAATGTAGTCGGCGAAATAATTCATCATTGCTTAGATTTTGTCGGTTGCGTATCGTGCCTCTTTTCAGTCGCCATTTAAGTATTTCTCTATGCATACTCTCGTAGTGTACGTGGTTATAAGCCCAGCAAGGGGCTGAAAATCCAGCTAGCCACATTTGATTTTTTGTGTTTCTTGTTTCATTCACCTAACATTCACTACATAGAGAACTATCGTACTCTCCTAAGGTAGATTCTTGGCTGTAAAATGGCCTAAATGGAGGCTCGGGTCTTACCCCTTAAAGCATGAACAGCTAATTAACTTTCAAAACTCTGCCATGAATATATAATTTCTGTAAGACATAAACCCAGAGGCAAAGCCAGAGTTTTGTCGCCCGTTACAATGCATATAAAATGTCAAAGCAGCTTATAGGAAAATAAATAAAAGCTCCATGCTTATTTTTTGAATAAAAGTTTAAATTCCAACATTCTAGACGACTTTCTAGAAGTTTGCTTCATTATTCCAGTTGCTTTCCTGACAGTACAGTAAGAATTCTTAAATAATAAGCTACTCATTTTAAGTTCTTTCCAATAAATTTGTATTTTGAAAAATTTCTCTCATAACAAGTAATATTTACAACAATTGTAAGGGAAAATGAAGGTAGTATTATAATATACTAATAGTACCATGATATACGTCTACTTTAAAATACAACCTATTGGTATACGTTCTGCTTGGACGCGGGAAGTTTTGCAAATTTCTGTTTGGGATGAGACGTTTGTTTGGAATACCACTCGACTTCGATAACTCATGACTGCGCGCACAACATTTCTCGATCTCTTTCGAGACAATACTACGGCTGCTCATGAATGTCTGTATGCCTCTTGCTACTTTTCAGTTAACAACCTGTGGGATAATTAAAAATTATAAAGGGATTTGGGTTTTTTTTCTCTTAAAAGTTCTGTAAATTTATTAATAATAGGAAAACTAAGTGAGGTATTAAGGAAAGAAGAAAATGGTTAGGATCACCACGGAGGCAAAAAAATAGATTGTGGAAAAGTATGAACACGGCATGCGTATCCCAGACTTGGTTACCGCATACGGTATAATGAGAAAGACAGTCTCTACGGCTGTGCAAAACAAAGATGCTATTAAATCAGCTAACGTTGCGAAGGGGATGAAGTCAGAGACATTAATAGCATGACGTGAAATTGCTTTTGTTCTGGATAACAGAAAAACATTTATGTACATTATTTCAATTATTTATAGCATATATTTCACCCACTGCATCTGTATTTTATTATGAAACAGTCTTATAATAATAATGTAATCTTTTTTATAAGATCGGATTAATTATTTCCGCTCTACTTCTTACTAGACAAGTTGGTTTGATATAGGGTGGCATACTTCCAAGAACCTAGAAAGTATTAATGACGTATACCGAGGTACTACTGTACTTGAAACTGCGCTTTGGAAACTCTACTTTAAACTGCAAAATTTCATAATGCCCTTCCACCTTTTTATTTGTTTTCTAAGCAATAACAGAAATTAAACTCTGACGTACTTTTCTCTCAGCGAAGAAGTGTTCCATAGTTACGTCACCCCGATCATGATCAGCTGTTTTATTAGAACTTTAATTAGTAGGATTGATACTGTAATCATCAGGACCTAAACCCTCTTTTTATAATAATAATGATAAAATACTGGTGAGCGAATACTTTCTTTCCAAACTGTATATCTGCTCCCTATAACTACATCTCAAAGTGACCGTCAAAAGATTTCTTTTTTAAACAAGAAGACATTGGCTATTCTGACAGCAACACTGAGTCACCATCATTGCTGATACAAATCGCAAAGAACCGGAAATATTTCTTCCTTTCTTATTTCTGCATTTCAGCGAGTTCTGGCCATCAGGTCCAAGCAGTTAATGAAATGACGAAAGAGAAAAACCTTGCAACCTCTCTCTTGACATTATACAGGGAGGATGGCTGTAATGACGGCTGTTTAAAGAAGTAAAATAAAAGCACAACCAAGCCATTTTCTCCTCCTCCCCGCATGCTCTCGGGATCCAATTATGTTGGAGAGCGGAAAAGCCGGAAAAGAGGTGGGGTGAAGAAAGAAAGCATCCCTCTTTTTATTCATTTTTTTCTTTTTCCATCTCCCCATATTTCTGATGAGTTTGTGGTTTTGCTGTATTGGCGAAATTAACCCAGTAATCTTCGCCGGAAAGTGATATTTCTGGTAGCAAATATTATCAGAAAATTCGAGATGAGTCTTAAGTTTTGGAAGGGCTGGGTTGCTTGTTTATGTTTAATACGCAATCGTCAGGAAAGTTACGTGAATGATTGAATTCTAATGCCATTTATGGTTTTGAGTTGATGAAAAATATTTAGTTGTGAAGCTGATCTGTTGGCGCGAAATACATTTTTAGCCATCATTGATGATCTCCGATTGTGTATGTCAAATCTTATGAAATGTTTTCTAGAATAATTATTAATTTAATATCTAATTAAAAACTAATCGTAATAACATTTGGACACTAAGATTATTCGCTAGATTGCCTTGTTGCCATTGAGGCGCTTTGTCTATGCCAATATAAAATACCTACAGGAAAGTGTGGCATTTATGCTTAAATTTTACTAGCAAAATGTAATTTAATTGTTCCTTTCTGCCTCTTTGTGCCATGAGGCTCTCTCATTCTAGAGTTTAGATTTGAATAACAAGTAGTTTTAAGGAAAGATAAAAAAAATTATGAATAGGTGTGCCAGAATTTTAGCCTGTTTTTTACTGCTGCCTTACCGATTAAAGCAACGTCTTTTAGTGACACCAGTGCTGGTCTTGATGAGAATATTGTAGACTGAGGTTACATTCCGCTTTGGCAAAGTTTGTAGTCTGTAGTCAAGTTCGATTTAAACTGTTGAATTTATAACCATTGTGAATTAAACTGTTGAATTTTTAACCATTGTGAAAGAAAGCTTTGTGTTTAAACCATGTCCAGGTTGACTGGTAACTTCATGTTTGTTATATTTTAATTTAATCCCTCACAAGGGGGGATGTAGAATAAATTTAAAATGCTTTGCTTCTATGCCTGTTTACGTAAAGTGAGGAATTCTAGTGATAATTCCCTTTGAAGTTCAAGTAGCACCTTATTTTTATTGAAATTGAGCTAGCTAAATTACGTGTACCTACAGCAGATACTACAAGTTGTTCGAAAATGCAGTGTTTCGAACTGAGAATGAAAGTTTCATAGCACGTTGTAGAATATAAGTACATGTAGAGATTATGTTTTTAATTGAACAAAGATTATTAAATACAAATGCGAAGAAACTTGATGAGAATATTTACGCATGAACTTGCGTTTAATGAAATATAGGAACTTGGATAGAAAAGCTGCACTAAAGTTTAGCATAATAGCAATCTAACACATTATCAATAAGATACAGATGAGAAAGGGGACTTATCTCTTATCTTGGAACGAAGTTGAAGAGAATGTGAGTCGCATAAGGGCTTGTATAAGTCTTTTACGAAAGGAAGGGAATACTAGTCCAAATTACCTGCAAAGCTGAGCACGTAACTTGAAAGTGCTTTATTGGAAAATTTTTAATTTTCATCATTCATAAGTTTAAGAATAGTAGGCAGTTTCATATCTTCGTGCAGGGCAGTATTTTTGATGTAGTAAAGTGCCCCGTTAATAATCCTAAGAAAATTATTCTCAAACCTCTGAAGAATGAGGTCCCAACTAAAAAAGCTTATTATGCTCTAACATAACAATACCGAGTAGAGCTTTTGGATTAAAATGGTGGTAAAAAACTATGAAGTATATTTTCGTACTGTAGAACTTTAGCTAAATCTTAGATTTTGCTTTTAGAGTTTCCGTTTCGGTAGGAATTTGAGTCGACAGTGCTCTTGATAACGTCAAAGAATTCTTTTAGTTGCAAGAACGCATCAGACTGCTACTCACTCATTACAAGCATAAACTTCTACTAGGATTCATGAGTTTTCAACGCCTCCAAGCCGGAAGTTTTCATTACTGATAGCGGGCTCCATGAGAAAACTGCATATTAGTCGTCATGATTAATCATTCAGAAATGAATTTATTATCATTAAAAAGATTATGAATCCACAAATTTATAATCTTTTCTCCTTGGAGGTGTCATTTAAAGATGAAAATTGAAAGAGTAGGTAAAAGATGGGACGAATATAAGTCTTATCAGAAAATGAATTGGTTTTCCTCAGCTGAAACCAGCTGGTTAAGATTTTTTAAGGTCCTAAGCACTTGAAAGATTTTGGTGCTCCCACATATGTTTACTCCAGCTTTTCCTTCATTTCTTCTCTCTGTCGGTTTTGGTTTAGCACACTATACATTCTATGGTAAAACCTAAAACCGGCAATGGGAAACTTTTTGGTACCCCCTTTTTTGGATACCTAAGCATCTTTCTATAGTGCACCCT